AACAGTGCATAAGAAATAATCTATGTATAATTAATGCACGCATTACTAATACACTCTATTTAGCATTATTTTTCTACACTCTACCAAACGACCCCTAAATGCTTAAGAGTGTGTGTCAAGGTATAATATGGTAAATTCATTTGGATTGACTTTGTTTCTTTAATCCTACTTTTGATATTGATCTTTTCAGAAGGTGAGGTCGTTAAAGTTGGCGAGCAGTCTATTCACATAGTAGTTCTTGGTTTTTCTTCTGCTGTCATAGCAGATGAGGACATTCGAGAAGATTTCAAGTATAAAATTGTAAGCACTTTGAACTAATGAGACCTTGAGTTGAGATATAGATTTGATACTGATTTGTCTTTGGATATGTTTCTCTTTTCGTAGAAACACGGGAAAGAAGTTTTTGTCAGCAGATCTAACAAGAAACACAGGATCAAAGTGGGAACTACTCTACGGTTCTCAGTCAAGAAGTAAGATCTTCGGTCATATTTCTTTTTTGAGCTCTGGAAATTCTTTTCCTGCGTTCCTCTAAAATAGGGATTGATACATAACAAAAGTAATATAAAATAAAAAAAGAAAAGAAGTATATATGCAGTTATTTTGGTCCAGTGACAAGTTACATAGGTATATGAGTCTGCTTTCAAGGCAGCATCTTGAATTTGAGAGAAGCTTGTCTCAGTGTGGCAGAGTAGTCTTGGTCAATAGTGTTCTTGAATTCTTGTACTTTGATTATCATATTATTTTGTTGTAGTTACTACTACTTTTTTCAGACTGCTTTGTCATACTTTCTATAGTCTTTTTCCATGACTTCTTCACTTCCGTCATTTTCTTTTCCAACTGCTTTGAATTGCTTTTCCTCGAGTTGAGGATCTATCAAATTTCAGAAACAACCTCTCTACCACCCAAGGTTGGGGTAGGTCTGCGTACACTCTACCCTCCCAGACTGCACGTGTGGGATTACACACTAGGCATTGTTGTTGTTGTTGTGTTGTAGAGAAAGAGATTGTGAGATTTAAGAATATGGTGCATAGATATGACAATGAATCAAGGGAGAGTCATATAACTAATGACTTTGAACTATTGTAATAGCTAAAAGAGGTGTAATTTAGGAGGTGACATTTTTATTTTTTAGTATCACATAAATGAAAAAATAGAAAAAAGACCAACAATTAAGTAAAAAATAAAAATATATAGTCCAGTCACTGAGAGTGCCAAGTACCTCTCTTATGACCAGAATTTTATTAATATATAAGTAGATAGATAAATATAGATTTTCAATGGGCTATAGTAGCCCTAATTTGTTGGGTTGTCTGCATGACTGATTTCCTGAATTTGCATGTTCTTTAATTATTGCGGTGTTTAGATAGTAATCCTTACAATCTTTCTACTACTGAATCTTAATTCCCTTTAGCTTCTCCTTTCAGCTCTGCATTTTATTTTTTGGGTTACTTTAAAGGATGAATTAGACTTGATGTCGTGCTTTTTATTTGTAGTTTTGATGAAGAGATACTACATATATGTGGGTCATTAATTCCAGATAACACAGGAAATATTCAATGGTTGGAAACGAAGGCAGAAGAGTCTCAAGCTTACAGGTTTGCTAACTGTGAAGTTTCTATTCACTTATTTCATTCCATCACTCCGCCTCATGCATTTTCTGATATTGCAGCATTACAGAAAAGAGGATAGGCAACAAAAGGGCTGCTGAATTGCTTGAGCCTGATAACTTAGTACCCTACAGGGAAAAGCTGAAATCTGAAAATCATATTAAGAAATCGAAAAAATCTAAAAGCAGAGACAGCTGAATATGCTAATTGTATGCATACATCACAACAATTTTTTGGCAAGGTACTCATTTCCTGTTCTTTTGTTTTTGTTTTTGTTTTCATGTCTTAGTTGGTCTGCTCATTACATTTCTGATTTTGATCTTCCATTCATTCCTCGGATCTCAAATAAATTTCCACTCGTAGTTTTCCAATTTATTTTAACTTTGGATAATTAATATGATACCTCCTGCATTACAAAGAGGTTAAGGAAATAAATAGCTACATCCAACCAAGGGAGAGGATGATTCATTTTGGTGTATGGAGCAACAACAATTTGGGACTTGGAAGTCAAAATCCAATAATGGGAAATGAGGTTAAACTCATTTTCCTTGGTCCCTTAGGTATTTTGGATGATTTACTGGATAAATATGAAAGCTCAAGGATGTAGTTACTAGAAAACGAACATAAGTTGATGCTCTTTCGTGCCGTTTGTTTTCTGATGGTGGTGGTGAGAGATTTGATGGTTTAGGTGATGGTGGAGGAGAAAGGTCTCGTCTTTGAGCAAAGATGGTTGTTGCATCGTGCTGGACTGCTAAGACAGAAAAATAATTTAATAAAAGATGTTAAAAAAGTTTATGATATGTTTTTTGGCTTCTCACTCTTTGAGAGTGTAATGCACTCTCTTCGCCACATATAGCATTTCGTTTCAAGATAGCTAAGTATAGTAGTGTGTAACAGAGAATCCAGGTATCGTTTTTTTTTTTTCTTCAAAGAATCCAGGTCTAGTTTAGGGGTGACCGGTGTTTTTATGCTTTTTCCCATCTCAAATCAACTTCCATAATTTCCCAATTTGTATTGATGCTTTGATCTGACATATTGCCCTTCACCCCCTCCCCTTTCTTTTGTTATACATGTCCTTAACCACTACATTCATGGAAATTTTTGTAGTGCCTCAACTCTCATGCTAAGGCTACTTTACATGCATTAAATTTGGACCCGAAGGTGGATGTCAAAACTATACAGAATTGGTTCAACAACTTGGACGTGAGGTGATTTGTGAAGAAGGGAGCGGTAAAGATGGCCAACGTTTTACTGATTTTTGTTGTTGTTACTGCTCATGATAATATAGTAGGAGGTAGATGAAACTTTAATTTGCATAATCCTTTATCAATGTAATCTCATTTTTGCTCAACTAAATACTGTCTTAGTTTCAATGACACTAGTGCCAATATAAATTGCTGTATTTTTTCTCAGAATTGGCAAAGTAAAACCAGATCTGCTTTCTGTGTGGTGCACAACATGTTACATTCCAATCAGTCTAAATGTAAGGGCAGTACAGATGCTTGGCTTTCCGAAGAGAGTCGGATTGTTTCCATAGCTTGAACCCGTGGTCACAACCTACCACAACTCTTACCATTGCGCTAAAGCTCCTCGTTCAACGTGGTCACACAACGGCATCGTGCATAACACAAACTAATAGTTAGCCAGCAACGTAACTGACATTTAACTTCCATCTTTAGAACAAAAAAGCAGGAAATAAGCCGATCAATTTCAGAAAATTACCCACTAAATTGACAGATTTATTATGTACACCATTTAAAAGCAAAGTAGCTTGGGATGCACCTAGTAGAAGAAGATACTTGATGGAATAATCGAGGTGTGTACAAGTTGGTTTGTATCATCATCATTAATTGAATATTACTTGCGACGTGATGTGTGACACCGAGATAGATGTACTAATGACTTTGGAGCAACCTACTCAGACAAATGTACCTTCGACCTAATGACTTTAGAGCGACCTACGTTCAAAAGCTACATTCACGGAATTCATTTGGCTATATTCTTCATTTAAGTGTATTTGTGGTTTAAATATTAAGAACACAAATAAGATACATGCATTGTTGTAACGATTGTGTTATATTACATACTTTAGTTTCTAAAGTGTAATGTTAATTTAAAAGAAATAGAATGTCATCTCATTCTGATCGTGACTTGAAAAAAGAAAGAAGAGAAGGAACTTGATTATCTCGAAACAACAAAAGAAAAATAAAAAAATAAATTGTCAAGAATGGGATTTGAACCCATGCCCTTTCGGACCAGTACCTGAAACTGGCGCCTTAGACCAACTCGGCCATCTTGACATTTTATTTAAATAATTCAAAAAACAATTATATATATCATATATTTTCTTCCATTTCTTTTTAGCAATTCAAATATTGATGCTTGAATTTCCTTGATGCAACATTTGTGCATTATTACTTTTAATATAACAATTATATTTAGGAGAGCACTTTCGATGACCCCTACGTGAATCGTATATGAATTAGCTGATTAAGTAAATTTCGAACACCAGACGATTAAATAGAAAAAGAAGGTAGTACTCCAATCAACAAGAAATAAAACAAAAATTTGGCTAGTTCGTTGGCTAATTGGTTTTCGGCATGTGAATGGTCAAAACTATGTTAGTCTTTAATTTTTGCCTTCAAATAAATGGTCTCTAGTTTTTGTCTTTATTGTAGATATATATGAATACATTTATTATTCGCACGAATGGAGTTATATATATATATATATATATAGATACACTTATTAAGAAAGATGATACAATGCATTTTACTATTGTTATGCATGCAAATGTAGTGTATTTCGATACAGAGATTTATATACGTGAGGATACTTATTATAATGTATTTCACTATATTTATGCACACAAATATAATTTATTATGCTATGTTTGGAAACCAAAAATGCTTCAACATTTCGTAACTAAACAAAATCTCGCTATTTTTTTAAAATCTGAAGGTAAAATAACACTACTTACGAAATTCTGTTACATGACACAACATACTAAGGCTCTATATTTACCTAAAAATTTATATTCCCTCTGTCCCAATTTATGTGACACCTTTTTTTTTAGTCCGTCCCAAAAATAACGTTATTTTGACAACTATTTAATGACAACATCTTCATTTTATCAATAACACTTTATTGTGAAGAACAATCAACTAAAAACAAACAACTAACTTTAATAAGACCAAATAATTAAACTTAACAAAGTCTTTTTTTAAAAAAGAAATTTCATATTATCAAACGGTGTCACGTAAATTAAGACCGAGGAAGTAAAATATTTTGGATTGGATTGGGCCACAAATATATATCCATTAGCTGAATAAAGCCCATTTATTGCTGCCATCTGTTCATCATTGTATAGTGTAAAAAATGTTGTAAATCTGGTCTCTCTCTCCTTCTCCCATCTTCCCCTGAATCTTGAAATTTTCCTTAATCTCTCCAAAACCCAAAAACATAATCATTTGATTCCTATATTTTTTTCTACCAAAATTTTCAAATCACCCCATTTTTAAGAGCTGTTTGATTCATTGATCTGGTGTTCTTGATTTGATCACACCACTTTATAGATTGATAAATGAATGTAGCATTTTGATCATTATAAAGAATTGGGTATGTGCCTTTTGTCAAAAAGATTGAACTTTTATTACCCAATTCTCTTGCTTATTAGTTTCTAATTATCATTGTTTAGTAAAATATGCATTTTTTTGAGCTTGAAACTGATAAAGATTGAATTTTTTTTACAGCTTTGTCCAGTTTTTCTTTGTTTCATCCTGAAATGGAAATATGGGTTGATTTAGGAATATCCTAAAAAAAGGGTGGTGGTTGCTAATTGTATTTAGTATTATGTCCATTTTTTTCTTGAATTGGTAAATGCCAAAATTATATGATTTTTAAGTGTTACTCTCTCAGTTTCGATTTATGTTACTATATGTTGTTTTTTGTACTTTGGTTATTGTAATATTATGTATTTAGTTATTTATTTTTTTCAGAATGCTTTCTTTATTTTGTCTTGGCTTCTTCACTTTTGTTATTTCTTTTCTCGAACTGCGTTGATATACTTGTCTTTGAGCTGAGGTTCTATCGGCGACAACCTCTCTACCTACTAAGGTAGGGTAAGGTTTGTGTATACTCTACCCTCCTCAAACTCCACCCGTATGATGTTGTTATTGTTACTCCCTCCGTTTTAATTTGTTTGTCTTACTTTTCTTCTTGGTCTTTCCGAAAAAAATGTCTCTTTCCTTTTTTGACAACTTCTTAATTCCTACTTTTCACTTGATATGTTTAAGACCACAAGATTAAAACACATTTTGGTACTCGTAACAAGATTAAAAAATCTCTTTGCTTTCTTAAATTCTTTGAAATGGAGGGAGTAAAAGATGTTGCACTAGAAGTAGTTATGTCAGACTTAGTAATTATTGTCTGTCTTGTTTGAGTCATACAAAATATTTTGAAAGTTCTTTTTATTAGACATGATGAGACAACTTATGCAGTGTAGCTTATTGTTGAAATTATTTACTACAAGGGTCCCATATAGGAAAACATGTAGGATACTGTTCTTCTATCTTAAAGGTCAATTTCCTTTTAATTGGTAAAGTCATTTACATGTGGATGGGCCTCTTTTCCTGTTCATGGTTGAACAGACTGAGTGAGGGTGTTTTTTTTTTTTCCTTTTTTTTTTTGATAAGGAATATGTTGCTCTGACTCTTCGAAAATATTGTTGTACCAGTATTGGATCCTCCAAAGTGCACAACTTTTTGAAGATGTGGCACACACTTATCAGTTTTTTTTAAGAGTCCGAGCAGCAATTTTCGAATAAATTTGGAGAGATCAGTTAGACATGTTTTTTTTTTCCAATTCCTGGTAAGGGACCTACTACATAATGAAGGTTAAAAAAAATTAAACTATTTGTTAGCCCAGTTTGCCTGTTAGTATATGTGTAGTATCTTATTCTACTAATTTTCACTATTGTCTGTTATTTCATTTGTTCCATTTATCTTGCTATTATATTGTCTTTTTTTTTTATTTCTATCATGTTTTGATTACTTTTATTTTGAGTCGAGGGTCTATGGAAACAACCTCTCTACCACATAAAGGTAGGGGTAAGTTCTGCGTACATCCTAACCTCCCCAAACCTCACTTGTGGGATTACACTAGTATGTTGTTGTTGTTAGCCATTTTTAGGGAGTACTACTACTACTTGCAGAATGTTGCACTTTCTGTTTATTGGTATGATATTAAGTCTTTGTTATAGGAAGAACGAAGTTAGCTAATTACGGAGAGTCATGTAACAAATGATTTATATAAACGACACAAAATAATTGGGATTAAACTATCTCTTCTACAGTTAAGTAGAGATTTATAGAACCCTTGATATTCCATAAAGGACATAGCATTGGAATGAAATAGACCTAAACAGAACGAATGGTAGACAAGATTTATATGGCCAACCTGATTATTGTACCCGGTGTTGATGCAATTTTGGATACAATATGAGGTCTCGACAATCTATAATTATGTGTTATCACACTGGCTTAGAGCAAGCATTTACGAAATCTTTGATGACTGATCAAAAGAGAAAGATCTATATAGCATTCCAGTGTTTGGGGATTGAGGTGTAGTCAATTGATTTGATTAAGTTTCATAGAAAGATGCATGTACTTGTAATCTAGGGCAACTGTGATATAGAGATTATGCTCCATTTGCCCTTATGAAACATTCATACTGAAGTAGTACCCCGAAAGGGATTGCCCCTGCAGTTGAAGATGTTGGAGTGGCGACATTAGGAAATAAGGCTTCAATGCTAACTAGGTGAATTTTCTTATCTGCCTATGACTAAGTCGACTGAGTTACTCGTTACATGTGTTGGTGGAAGGTAGCAGGAACCTTGTAAATTATTAAATCATAGTCAAGGTGTACGTATGTTGACCAGACACCATCGATCTCAAATAATGCAGTTTGTAGGAGATAGAACTTCTGATGGTCGAGGTGGCTTTAGCTTAAAATGGAGTGTTCAAGAGGAACTAGAAGTGGTGGGCGTTCTAATTTTCATAGAGCTCTTTTTTAGAAGTGGTGGGCACCTTTTCATATTGGTTTTTATAAATCCGTTACTCAGTTCGAGGGTCCATCAGGAACTGCCTTTCTACCTTCATAAAGTAGGGGTTAGTCTGCGTATATAGTACACACTACCCTCCCCAGACTTCACTTGTGGGACTACTTTGGGTATGTTGTTGTTGTTGTATGTTTCCAGAAGTACAAGTGCCAATTTTGTATCAGTCGTCAGCTATGGCTGATTTGCAGATGATCAAAAACACACGAGCAACCTTTTATTTTGACAAAAACCTTACAATACTGCAATTTAAATCTCTAATATTTTCAGTTATATGGGAAAGAGGACGAAATGTAGTAAACTGTACAATGCTGAACTTCAAGATTCTTCAATCAATTACAGCTCATGTATAAACTTCTAGTCATTAATGTATGAAATTTAATAGTCTTCGGATAGTTATTGAAATTTTACAGTACCAACAGTTCTATGGTCGTAGCATCCTTCCCAACTACCGAGATTTTTTACTTCTTTTCAGAGAAGGTGACCAATCTCTCCCTACTCACCAAAAAAGCACATGCAAAGTGTGTTGGTGATTGTTTGTCATTTCACAGACTTTATTGAGCAATAGTTTGTAACGTAACATGGTATAATCAGGTAAAACCTATAGCGAATTAGGTGAGTTTTGGAAACTTCTTTAGGTCCAAAAGATTGTTCTTAAGTATGTCATCAAGTTGATTGTTCAAATGGTTACTCAACTAATAGTTGTTATCTCTGAAAGTCACTTTGTTTGTTGAAGAAAATTGGAATCAACAAGAAAGGTGACTTTCTCAGATTATAACTATTAGTTGAGTGACCATCTAAGAAATCAACCCGTATGTAATTTTACAATACTACAACAGCAACAATTACTACTACACCTCAATCCCATGCTAGTTGACGACGTCATTTTAGAATCTAAAACTTAATTTTCCACGTTCCACTGATTTCCATCATATTGCTTTCAGGTTTTGAGCTTAATACTTGGCGGCAAGAAGCAAGGGAGTGGGAGCTTAGCACGGGGTGGGACACTTTATTCTTTGCTGAAATTTTAAGATTCTGATGCTTTGCTTTTGTGCAGATATTTGAAAGTCATCACTTTCCTTTTAGGACTGAATTTGAACTCGAAGAAGTAACTACAGTGACTGGAGGGAAGTTTTAGTTCATGGTGCTTTGCAAGTCCACTTTGAATATTTTTCCACCACTCCTCAGCTCCTGATAGAACTTTTACCGCTGAGACTTCTTTCTTCTTTACTTTAGCTATTTCCTTCTGTAGTCGACCCCTGCCTTTGAAGTTTTTTTCCGAGGGCCTATACCTGCTCATTCTTTACTTTTCTTTATTTCGCAGCATAAATAAGTAGTTACGATGTTCTAGCTTCCCATTTTATGTGGTGAAGAAGATGGCACACAATTCCGAGGAAGAAAAAAAAGAGGACTACCTTTTCAAGATTGTATTGATTGGTGATTCTGCAGTTGGTAAATCGAATTTGCTTGCTAGATTTGCTAGAGATGAATTCTATCCAAACTCAAAATCGACAATTGGAGTAGAATTTCAGACTCAAAAGATAAACATAAATGGAAAGGAGGTTAAAGCGCAGATATGGGATACGGCTGGTCAAGAACGATTTAGAGCAGTTACTTCTGCATATTACAGAGGTGCAGTTGGAGCTCTTCTGGTTTATGATATTAGTAGGCGCCTGACTTTCGATAACATTGGTCGATGGCTTAACGAGCTTCAGAGTAAGCAGCATGCTATTGATTTATTTTGTTGTTTTAGTTTATATTTGTTTGACTAGATGTTTGTTTTATCATTTTAGTTTGAAATTGCCTAAATTTCATGCTCCACGTTTAAGGTACTTGAGGAAGGTCTGCACTGGATTTTGTTTCAATATAGCTCAATAGTTGAGACTTAGGGTAGAAGGTTAGTAGGTTACAGTAGAGCATTTTCTCGCTTACCCACCCCTACTAGTAGTCATACTATTTCTCATGTAACTTCTTGTCCGTCAATTTTTGTCACTAATCTATTGTCTCTTGTACTTGGATTATCACACTTTTGGTGTACTTACTATTCCTTTTTTCAAAATGTTTTATCATGCTTTCTATAGTATTTTGCCATGATCCCTTCACTTCAGTTATTTCTTTTTCGATCTGCTTTGATATGCTTTTCATTGAGCCAAGGGTCTAGCTGAAACAACCTCTCTACCTCCCAAGGTAGTGGTAAGGTCTGCGTACACTCTATCCTCCCCACACGCCACTTGTGGGATTACACTGGGTATGTTATTGTTGTTGTAGTTGAGAATTTTGTATCGGCAGAGATTATTCCATGTCATTAACGCATAAATCTTTTTTGCCAACGGTACATTAAGTTCATCTGTTGGATTATGCATTGTGCTCCGTATGATTCTCTAGGCTGGTTAGATTGTTTGGAAGGCACCGTTGTTTTATGTTGCTCGGACTCTATGAAATTGTTGTTGCACCCGCATGGATTTGGAGGATTTTGACATGCACACATCGACATTTTAAAGAATCTGAGCAACCTAGCATGTATCCTTGATGTACTTGTCCCTAAAATTGCTCATAAAATAAAGCAACATACATGACAGCTTCAATTTTCAGGATCTTTACGTAACTGATAGCATCATTTTTGACTTGTATCTTTACTCCGTTAACAGCTCATTCGGACATGAATGTGGTTATAATACTCGTTGGCAACAAGTCTGATCTCAAAGACGCCAGGGAAGTTACAACAGCTGAAGGCAAAGCGTTGGCTGAGGCGAAAGGTCTATTTTTCATCGAAACTTCAGCTTTGGATTCATCGAATGTAACTTCTGCTTTCCAGACAGTTGTTAGGGAGATCTATAATATTCTGAGCAGGAAAGTTATTCAATCTCAAGAGCTCCAGAAAAAGGACTCGGGCCGACTAGCAAATGGTAAGTCTGTGGTTTTGCAGGCTGATGATGGAAATCAAGAAACAGTTGCAGAAACAAAGAAAGGTGGATGTTGTTCATCATAAGTAAAATAATCTATATGGAGTCGTCTTCAATGTGGGACTTCTTGGCGTGAATTCAGATTTACTCGGGCCTGAATACAGGTACTGGACACCGAGTGAGAGGTTAAAAAAAAGAAAGTAAACAATTCCTATTTTTAGTCCTAAGACATGTCAATATCACTTCTCCCAAGATGTAATTCAGTTTCTTGTTGGTTGAAGAAGAAGTTTATAGGACAAGCTTTTTCTTTAGAAAATGTAAATGATCTCAAGGGGAGAAGAACATTTTTTGACTGTTTTTGAAGTTTCTAGTTTTGTATAATTCAATTTGTTCCGTCTGTGCTTCAATCTGATTTGTCTTATTAGGCGTTTCGATATTATTTGAATAAAAAGAAGTATTATTTGTTGATGAAAAAGGATATTTAGAAGTTTAAGTTTTATTTGAACATAAAAATAAAGTTGAAGTTTTGTGAGTAAAAACTTAAAAAAACTTTAGAAACTTGTATTTCAATTACCAAGTCCTATTTTTTATTTTATTTATATTGTCATATCGTCATGCATGGACTAGTGTCATAACTATAACTGTCCTAATATAGCAAAATTCATTATCTGGTAAGTTCTTACCCGCACAAAAATCGTAATGTACGGTCTTGAAGAGAGACTCGATGAAATAGATATGTCTGTGAAGATACGGACTACTTGCATCTAGACAAAAAGACCCTATGAAATTTCATTATTCTCTCTTTGGGATTAACTTTGGGCCTTTCCTACGCAGCTTAGTTGGCCGTTAGGTCGCACCTTCCGGTACAACTACTTTATTTCGACTTCATTCTAGTTACTAACCCTATCTTCGACATTCCCTCTTACTTAATCAAAATACACTTATTTGAATATCACTGTTATAAAAAAATATGCCCTCCAATTCTCAAATGATTGGAGATATTATTTTCTAATGTATTTAGATGAAAAATTTATGACCCTTGTTTGTAGTAGGTTACAACTCCCCAACAACTTCAACCCAAAATTCAAGAAATTAATTGTATATAATACACTATTTATTATTGGCATTCCAAAATTTCATGTGAGCCAAATAATGTATTTTCTTCATCACATTCTTTTTAAACCATAGAAATTTGTAACAACTATACCATTCATTTCTTTGGCCTTCTAATTTACACATTCTTTTTATTTTCAAAAAAAATAATCTATATAAACAAATCCCTTCATTTTCTTTTTTTAATATAAAAAACACAAACAAGAATCTTTCAAAGAGAAAGAAGGGAAAAGAAAGAAGAAACAAAAATCTTTCTTTTTCCTTCTTCTCTTTTCAATCAAAACACAAAACATATATATTTTTTTATAAATCATTCACACAAAAAATATATTATTTTCTCTAATTTGTTGTTTATTACAAATATGGCCAGCAGTAAAATGATTACTTTGATATTGATCTTTTGCCTGTTGGTGGCTACAAATGCAACAAAAAAAGTTACAAATGTAGCACTTGAAAAGAGCAATAATATGAATTATTCTCTAACACAATGTTATTATGAATGCTTGCAAATTAGAGTTTTCACATTGACTGATTGCCAAAAAGAATGCAGAAAAGCTTGTAAAAAGCACAACAACAACCTTGTATAAGGGCGTCAAATCGTGATCGTGAAAATATACGAGAGAAGAAATAATCAAATATTTTTGGAACATTTTTTTTTTGATGTAAAACGTACAACAAGGGAATTGAATCGCGATTGAAGACATACAAGAGGGGAGATAATCAAAGATTCTTGAATATATTTTTGATGTATCATTTTTGTAAAAGGTAGAATTTTTTTTCCAAAATATAAATAATTTCTTTTCTTAATTTTGTTTTTTTTTTCTTTTTTAGGTGTTTTTTTTTTTGTATGTGTATCCTTGTAAATTGTGTATTTTATGTACATTTTGCATTGATAATTATTTTGTTTAAATTAAATTAAAGATGTTTTTGTTTGCATAAATGTTGCCTTGGTTAAGGCCAAGATCCAAAATTAAAAGAAGGATTCACTTTCTGAAATTCAAGAAAAATAATGGTTAAATTAATCATTGACCAACAATATATCGACCTTGAACTATCAGGTCATGACTTCTACTCGTTGTATACCTTGATCCCCTACTAGCTATATAAAGGTTTTTTAACGATTAACAAAAAGAGTACTTAACGAAAATAATATATCACAAAGATCACAAATTACTTCTCCCTTTCTCCTTAATGTTGAAGCACACTGATGTCGGAACCTCCAAAAATGCTTCACTTTTTGTTAGATCTGGACACACATGCAACAATATTTTTGAAGAGCCCGAACATCGTAACTTTTAAAACTGGTGAAATGATCTAAGCATTTTATTGCTACAGATGGACTATTACAATCATTTGGTACTAAAATCATTAGTTTAAGCTATTAAATAGCAGAAAACAGAACATAACTTCACACAGTTATGTGACTAAATCTGTGTATGACGTCTTTACATTGTCAGTGTATAATTAGTTAATATCCGCAAGTGAACACTAATGTTGTTTGCTACAATCATCACCTCGGTTCAGGCCAAAGAAGCAATGTCACACATAGGCTGAATGGAGAGCCAATGACCTCGTTGGTCACGGTTGGCACCCCTTTCAAGTCCAGGCCACCACTCCGGGCCTTGGCCCCATGAGTTGAACATTGGCTCTGATACCAACAACCTTGGGCCCAACTCACACCCGAAAGTTAACTATTGAGGTGGGAGAGCCCAAGTAATTTATAAGTCCCAAGACAGCTCCCCATTCATCCGATGTGGGAACACATGATTATAACCCGATCTATTTTTATCTATGAAGATCCCACCGGAGTTCCTTCTATTGTGATAGAGACTAGATTAGAATCATTCTCAACCGATCCAGCAAAACACTCAAAAGATAAAGAAGTATCATTACTTCATGGTCGTTCCAAGCACGAAATACCATTTGTACAGACAAGAATCCCCTTCGTTACATGATTTCATCTTCATATAGATAGATATAGGATCTACAGGACAACCAAAGAATCAAACTTGATATGATATCACTACTACTTTGTAACTGTTTGACACAACTAGTAAGCCTTGATGCAATTATTGATACAACTCATAAATAAAAAAAGAGATAAAACATAGAAAGCAAAAGAGACAAGAACATTTCCAATGTCTAACTTTGTTTAGATGTTTTCTGCTAAATTCATGTCCACAAATGTGAAGATGCACAATTCTATTTCAAAGTTCACTATTTTATTTCCAATGTTGACATGTACACGCCTAAGATTTTCGTTTGTCCTACATCTCGTAAAATAAAAAAGGTAAACATATCAAGATCATGTAGGGAGAGATTTACATCTTAGACGACAGTCATCTCCAAGCTGAAGAAGTCGCTAAAGCTCTGTTCTTCCATCCAAGATAAAGCGCGCCTTTGTTCTCTGCAAATCGATAATTTGGGCTAAACTCTTTCAACACACCATTGATGGCTTCACCAACTGATGGACTCAAGGGGCATGGAGTAAATCCGGCCATTGTAAGTCTCATACTCCACTTTCCAAAAACTTCGTGTCTTTCCACTCTGTCAGCCCCCTCACATGCTATTATGTTGACAATGTCTCGTGCCACACAATGCGCCTCTGCATTGATCCTTTGCTTGTCATCCCCCGGGCGACCTGCATCAATTGACTCGAACATTGCGGTGTAGTAATCCAGAGTTTCACGGAATCTTGGAAGGAAAGCAGAAGTGTTGGTGTTAGATTCTTGTTCGACAAGGGTGACTATTTTCGGGGACAAGCTCTTAACCAGTCTAAGTAGACGGTCTCGATGGTTTGCAGTGGTTACACTCTCGTCTGGCATGTGGTGCAGCACGTACGGGAAGTTAACTGCCAAGGCTTCTCCATGTCTAATTTGAAGGTTTTCTAGCTGAACCTCACAGCCCGATATAGCAGCAGCATGGAATTCAAAAGGCACTCCACATGATTCAGCAGCTTTTGCTAGCCTTTCACCTACTAGGTGAAGTCCACCACCGCGTGCATGAGCTGATTGGGAATCATCAACACCTGTGATGTGGACAGAAGGGGGTCCACCAGGCCAATGAGCAAGATTTTGCATAAGGAACACCCATTGACTTCCTTGTGCAATTTGAAAATCAATTATATGGATTCTGCTCTCATTCCTCATGGCTTCTTCGATCACAACGTTGGCGGATGTGTAAGCGAATCTGTAGTAGGGGCAGATGTGATAGAGGACTTGCATGTAAGAGATCAATTCTGAACCAGTTGGTTCCTTGCACTTGAGCATTTTGTATATGTTACTTCCCGAAGAATATATTCTTGCTTTGAGTCCTTCCAACATGTATGCGCTTAATCGTTGCATAGGTTCCCCGGAAACCGATACCTTTTGCTCTAAGACATTTATCAGAGCATCTCTAGCTGTGACATCGGCATCCGATACCTTTTGCCCTAAGACATTCATCTGAGCATCTCTAGCTGTGACTTCGACATCGGATATTGCTTCAGCACAGGCAAGAAGCAGCTCTTTCATGTCCAAGCTCGGTGCAATTTCCAATACTCGATTCCACTTTGAAGGTTTTGAGACCTCACCATTGAAAGAGCAACTGCTGTCTTCATCAATATCAGAACCAGGCCCTAGCAAATTATTCGCCATCTCCCTTAGCACATGCTTCAGTTCATTGCCATCATTCATTACTGAACACCCGCTCAAGGGTGAACCATAAGTGTTGTCTGAGGAATGGTGCTGATCCGAGATGTACGACTGAGAACACTGAGGAGAGAACGGACTCCAGTTGGACGAGACGCTAACAGCAGGAGGCGAATCATAGCTGACATAACCAGCATCAGGCAGTGAGTCCAGAGTGAAAAACTTTTCATTCTGTGTCTGATAAGAGAGCTGTGTCCCCGAGCTGCTAGTATCGCTGGAATTGTTGTTAACTACATGGTAAGGGCTATAATATTGCTCAAAGTTCGCCGTTGGCTGATGGCACAACTTGTGAACTCCGCCTGATGATTGAGGTATCTGGGATGCGTGCATCTTGGGATCAGTCACGCGCTCTCTTCAAATTGGCTAAGATGCTGAACAACTGCTCCAAGCTATCGATGTCTCTTCGTTAAAAGTAGTGACAGTCTCAGAAGCTTTCAACAGATACGTCGAATGTCATAACCAACAAAATCTGCCAATAAAAAAAATCATGTATCAGTATACTTGATGAAACTAGAATTTGGTAAAATGCAGTAAAGCTAACAGGAGATTTCTCATAAAAGAACCAAGAAGCTTTTCAAAGAACAAAAAATGTAAAATCTCAACGTATACCAGACGGAAAAAGACACACCAACACAAGTAAGAAGGCATCCACATCTTCTTATCACAGTGTATGAATCAGAAGTGTCAGCAAAATAACAAATTTCTATAGACTGACAGTGTAAAAAAGAATTTACGCTACAACAAATAGTGAGATTTGTAACCTCGAGAAAAGCAGGTAACCTGCTACAACATCTTAAAATGCACGGCTACAGTAAAGTCAGTATTGTGTTAAATCCAATAAACAGGTACAACAAACTGCACGAAGACAATGGACAGTTCATCAAATCAAAACATCACAAACTCCACAGATATTTATATTTCACATTCTACGGCCCTTCACCAAATATAATACACCTATGGTGATATGAACAGAAGTGAAAAGGATAAAACCCCACACACGGACACAGTAGGGGAAAGACAATCTTTACCTCTAAACCAGAATGTGTAATTAGTCAGACATATCAAGGAAAGAACAAAGGATAAAACAAAAGGCGATAATTAATGAAGTTGGTTTTAGATGCCAAATTGAGGGAAACAGAATTGGAAAAGATAAAATGGAACAAACTCACATCCAAAAAAGAAAAAGAAAGAAAGACAGCTAATGAAGATTAATTCATTATCATTATCTGTAACTACTAAATAAAGTAATTAAAAAGAGTATTAAATGAAGTGACAAAATTACCAAAGATTCACAAGCTTATCAACAAAAGTATTAAAAATTAAAATCAAATTCATTCTTAGAAATAGAAAAGTGTACTAGAAAGAGCCAATTTTCAGATATCTGAATAATTGCTATGCCTAACATCAAATTTCCATTAATATACAGACAAAAAAAAAAGATCTTCAACCCCACCCTGCACCCTGCACCCCCCCCCCCCAAAAAAAAAAAAAAAGCAAAAATGAAATAGACGAAAAAAACGAACTTGAAATATTCAGATCATTAACTACTGAAAAGTTAATCAATACAGTAATGACTTTTAACATGTGAGGTCAATTTTATGTTAACTTGAGGGAAATTAGCAGATTCGAAAGGAGGAGGAAAAGGCAGAAAAGACAGAAACTATTTTCATGAAATGGAAAACAACATATCCAACATATATAGAACTTTTTCTCATACCCTGAAGAAGCAACAAGAATCGCCTACTCAAGGGCGGATCTACAGGGCCATTCATTGGAAAATAACAATTTTTTCTTTATGCATATATATAGATAATAAACCACAAACCCCTCGATTAAAATCCTACCTCCACCACCATACTACTCAGAAGACAAAAACCTCTTACTCCCAACATTAAGAGCAAGACGACACAAAAAGGTACGAAGCAAATAATCAGCGTCAAATCATGGATCCGTCTCTGCCACAAACCAAAGGGAAAGAACAAAAAAGAGAGACTTCAAATAATCAGCTTCACATATACAAAAGTCACAGAAAATTTCCATTCAAAAATCAAAGAACAAACCTTTAATTTTCAAGATTAAAACAGAAACTTAATTAAACGATAAACAAAGTTAAGAACTTGCATTCTATAGGCAATTAAATCACTACTTAGACTAATCAAAACTCCATACAAAAATCAAAATCTGGCTAGTACCAATAGTCAAAGGGAAAGAATCAAAGAACCTTCAAAAGAATTAAGTCTTTTAATTCAAGATTTTGTTTCCAGAGAGACTTTTGCTTTCTGCTAAATACAAGAGAAGATTGAAGATATTGTCTCTGAGAGTTCTGGGCGTTTCTTATATAGAGATGAATTCTTGGAGATATCCCGCAATATTGTAGATCACAGTTTGTTGGCAACACGTGGGAAGTGTCTCTATTCCTACTCATAGTCTATTTGATCATGTTTTTTTCCCTTGTCAGTTCACACTATTCTTTCCAAGTAGAGTGAAATGATTACTCTAGTTTTCATTTAGGCTAGTGTTTCGGCACGTGCGTGCACGTGTATGCGAAGCATGTCATATAATTTTCTAAAAACACCTTCATGTTTTGAATATTTTGTATAGTCATCCTTTTTTTCCCGTCAGTTCACAATATTCTTTCCAAGTAGAGTGAAATGATTACTCTTGCATTTATTTAGACTAGTTTCTCGCACGTGATGTCATATAATTTTCTAAAAATGCCTTCAAGTTTTGAGATCAGTAACTTTGAGACATGCTGGCTGCTACAACATGTTAAAATACACAGCTACTGTAAAAACAGTGCGGTGTAAAATACAATAAAAAGATACCACAAACAGCATGTGGAGCTATTATCATTCATCTAGGTTCAAATACCATGAAGACAATGGACAGTTCATCTAATCAGAGCATCACAAACTCCATATTGATTTATATCTCACATTCTACGGCCAGTCGTTCACCAAAATACTACACCTATGTCGATATGAACTGAGGTGAATATGATAAACAACACACACACACACAGTGGGGAGAAAGACATTCCTTACCTCTTCAGCAAGTAGACCTCTAATTGGTCAGACATATGAAGGGAAGAACAAAGGGGAAAAAAAGGTGATAATCAATGAAGTTGGTTTAGGTACCTGATTGAGGGAAGACTCAATTGAAAAGATAGAATGTAACCAACTCACCTCAAGAAAAGAACAATCAAAGATGTCGCCTAATGCACTACAAGATTAATTCAATATCTTCAACTACTAAATGAAGTAATAAAAGAAAATTAATGCTTGTACCAATAGTCAACTAGAGACGAGAATAAAAAAATCTTCAAAAGATTGAGTCTTTTTTATGAAGAAGAAAGAATCAAGGTAAATGGTATTACATACCTTACAAATATCAAGTCTTTTTGATGAATTCAAGATATTTTTTTCCAGAGACTTTTGTTTTCTGCTAAATACAAGAGAAGATTGAAGATATGGTCTCTGGAAGTTTTGGGTGCTTGTTATATAGAGCTGGTTTCTTGGAGATAACTACTTGAACCCCCCCTCCACCAATATTTTAGACACACCGCCGGGGAAGTGTCTATTACTAGTCATAGTTTATTTGGTCATTTCCCCTGTCAGTTCACAATATTCTATCCGAGTAGAGTGAAATGATTATTCTTGTCTCTATTTTAGATTAGTTTCTCAGCACGGGTGTTACACGTGTATGTCGAATCATATCATATAGTTTTCATTCAAAAAAAGCAAAAAACAACCTTTGATTTTCAAGATTGAAACAGAAATTTAATTAAGCCATAAACAAAGTTAAGAACTTGCATTTAATAGGCAATTAAATGATTAAATCACTACTTGGACTAATCAAAACTCCATACAAAATCAAAAACTAGCTAGTACCAAAAGTCAAAGAGAAACAAGAATCAAAGAACCTTCAAAAGATTTGAGCCTTTTTTATGAAGAAGCAAGAATCAAATCAAATGGTATTACAAATCTTAAGAAGATTTGTCTTTTTGATGAATTCAAGATTTTTTATTCCGGAGAGACTTTTGTTTTCTTCTAAATACAAGAGAAGATTGAAGAAATGGTCCCTGAGAGTTTTTGGTGCTTGTTATATAGTCAAACAAAGGGACCATTTCTTAGTGATAACTAATTGAACTGCCTTTCCACCAATATTGTAGACTACAGTTTGATGGCACCACATGGGAAGTGTCTATTCTACGGCGAGAGACTGAAGAAATTATTTTCCGTTTTTTTATTTAGACTAATTTCTCGGCACGTGTGTTGCACGTTATGCAGAATCATGTCATATATTTTTTTAAAATATTATCTTTAACTTTACAGAACTGGGAAACTTAGAAACAACATGCTAGTGTTGCACGTGCGTTGCATGTGTATGCCATATCATGTCATATAGTTTTCTAATTCACATGCATAAACAAACTCAACCAAATTTCTAATAAGCAAATATCATAAACAGAACTTGGAAACTTAGAAACAACATGCTAGTCTTGCACGTGTATGCCAAATCATGTCATATAGTTTTCTAATTCACACGCATAAACAAACTCAACCAAATTTATAATAAGCAGATATCATAAACAGAACTTGGAAACTTAGAAACAACATGCTAGTCCTGCACGTGCATTGCACGTGTATGCCAAATCATCACATAGTTTTCTAATTCACACGCATAACAAACTCAACCAAATTTCTAAAAAGCAGATATCATAAACAACAAATGAAGCTATTATCATTCATCTAGGCTCAAATACCACAAAGACAATGGACAGTTCATCAAATCAAAACATCCAACTACAGCTCACAAATTCCACAGGTATTTATATCTCACATTCTACAACCAGTCCTTCGCCACAGGGTCAAAATCTTTAGATATTGGTGATCTTAGAAATTCTATTTCTATAAAGATGGTTAATTATTATATTACCAAGAAAGAGAAAATGGTAATAAGGGGTAATTTTACACAAAGCCTCATAACTAACTGTAGTTGAATTCAATTGAACACACAATACTCCATTTTTAGATTTCTTCGAGGAGAGCAAAAAACTTCCAAAGATCTCGGTGATAGATTCTTTTCCCAGGTAAGCACTTAGGAAATTCCGAATTAAGCTTTGATTCATGGATTCTTGTGCTTCTTATTGTTGCTAGGGTTTAATATCGTGCTAAAATTCTTTAATATTAAATTATTTGAATTTTGGGGGGAAAAAAGTGCATGTTATTCTAGGTCTTTCTGTATAGAATGAAAAAGTTAAATATCCCCCTAATCTATATCATTTTGCAAATTTCATACCTAAACTAGTTTATTGTGTGTTCCTATTATCCTTGGACTATATCTCCCATAAGATTAAAAACCCTTGATTGAATATGTGTCAAAATATTTAGAATAACTTGTTGAGAGGCACATGGGAGATGAAAAAAGTCTTTAAAATGAGTTTACGTGACACAATGAGTTCATGGTAGTTCAGAGGTTTTGTGAACACTCGATAAATTACATATGAAACTCGCAAAATAGTTTCCATGCGTACCGCCACTTGGAACTCTTTGGAAGAGCTTTTGGAACATGATATTCATATAGCCTGTCATATTCCTTCGGGGTGTATTTTCACGAGTTCAAGGGTTTTTTCATGAACACCCGACATTTTAGGTATGAAACTTGCAAAACAATGATGGTTTAAGTTTATATATGCAAAGACACAATTGAAAAAGATAGAATGTAACCAACTCACCTCAAGAAAAGAACAAGCAAAGACAGCTAATGCACTACAAGATTAATTCATCGTCTTCACCTACTAAATGAAGTAATAAAGAAAATATTAGCTAGTACCAATAGTCAACGAGAAACAAGAATCAAAGAAACTTCAAAAGATTGAGTCTTTTGTTTATGAAGAAGCAAGAATAAAATCAAATGGTATTACAAACCTTAATAAGATCGAGTCTTTTTGAAGAATTCAAGATTTTTCCCAGAGAGACTTTTGTTTTCTGCTAAATACAAGAGAAGATTGAAGAAATGGTCTCTGAGAGTTTTTGGTGCTTGTTATATAGGGCTGGTTTCCTGGAGACAACTACTTGAACTGCCTCTATATCAATATTGCAGACAACAGTTTAATGGCACAATGTGCGAAGTGTCTATTCCTAGTCATACTTTATTTGGTCATCTTGTTTTGCCCTGTCAGTTAACAATATTCTTTTGGCGGTGAAAGACTGAAATGATCTGAGGTGATAGAGTAGAGTGAAATGATTCTTCTTCTTTTATTTAGACTAGTTTCTCGGCACGTGCAACGCACGTGTATGCCGAATCATGTCATATATTTTTGAGAACTATGATTTTTTAACTTTACGGAATTGGGAAACGTTAGAAATAATATTCTAGTCTTGCACGTGTATGCCTAATCATATCATATATTTTTTTTAAATATGATCTTTAACTTTACAGAATTGGGAAACTTAGAAATAATATTCTAATCTTGCACGTGTAGGCCGAATCATCTCATATCTTTTTCTAATTCACGAGCAATTTTTCTAATTCACAAGCAATCAAATTGTCGTAATGAAGTGTTAGCAATATCAGCAACAAACTCACAACCAAGTTTCTAACAAATACTGAAAATTTAAGCCCTTCCGAAAAAATTGGAAACACAGACCAGAAATCCTTCATGTTAAAATGTTTTCTCATACCATGAAGAAGAAACATGAATGACTACTCCAGAGTCATAGCTAGAGAGTTTTTATCATATTTTTTTTTTCTATGATATAAGTAGATGATGAACCTTTGGTGAAAATCTTGTCTCCGCCACTAGACTACTCAAAAGACAAAAAAAAACTTACTTTACAGCTTTAAGAGCAAAATTGACATATAAAAAGATAGGAATGAATATTGACATCCATCTTACCGACAAAACATAAAGATCAAGAATAACTGACATAAGCAAAAGATAGGAATCAATATTGACATCCATCTTATCGACAAAACATAAAGATCAAGAATAATTAACATAAGCAAAAGTGAGGAATCAATACTATGGGACCAATATCAATATCCCTCTTACCGACCAACATAAAGAGCAAGAATTAGCATAATAAAAAGGAATTAAGAAAAAAGGTCTAACAAGGAAAATTTAAAAAATACAAGAATGTCACACCTAAGATTTGAACACACAATACACTAGAAGCTTCCTAATTCAAAGGGGATTAAATTTTACTCTATTCGCATGGTATATTCTTCCGACTAACGGGATTCAAATGAACCCCTTCAGAGTTCTGATCATGTAGCTCCGTCTCTGCCCCACCCCACAAACAGGAGCAGATGCAGCACACAAAAGTACGAGTTCATTTCAACCCCGTAGCTTTGGCTTAAACCTTATATATGTGTTAAAATATTCACTAAACAAGTACAAGTAATAAATTTCAAACTCAGTAAATCAAACAGATTGCAATAAAAATTCGAACTTGAACCCATAAATTCAAATCTTGAATCCGCCTTTGCCCACACACCAAAAAAGGACTTCAAATGAACAGCTTCATACATACAAAAGTCACAGAAACTTTTCATCCAGAACTGTAAGCAAAGGACAAACCTTTGATTGCAAGATTAACACAGAAACTTAATTAAACCATAAGCAAAGTCAAAAGCTTGCATTTAACTAATAACTCCATTACAAATCAAATAAATTGTGATAAAAATTCAAACTTTAACACATAAAGTTCAAATCTTGAATCTGCCCCACCAACCAAAAAAAGGGAAAACAAGAGTAACTCCAAACTTCATATATACAGAAACAGAAAATTTCCATTCAAGACAGTAAAGCAAAGAACAAACCTTTCATTCACTAAACACAAACTTAATCGAAACCCATAAACAAAGTCAAGAACTTACACATAATAAGCAATTAAAATCACTAATTAGACTAATCAAAACTCCATACAAAATCAAACAACACCAACTACTAATATTCAAATAAAATCAAGATTTAAGAAACCCAATAAACAAAAGAAGAGAAGAAAACTAACCTTATAAAAAAGATTGAATCTTTTTGATGAATTCAAGATATTTTCCAAAGGGACTTTTATTTTCCTGCTAAATACAAGAGAAGAGGGGAAAAAAAGGGATCTTTTGTTTTATGATGACTGAAGAAATGAAAGTGTTTTTGAGAATTTTTTATGCTTATTATATAGTCAACAACAAATTAATTGAAAAATCTTACAATTAAAAAAAAAAAAAAAGTTGTGAAATATAAAGAGCTGGTTTCTTGGAGATAACTACTTGAAACTGCCCCTCCACAAAAAAAAGTGTAGACCACAGTATGATGGCACCACGTGGGAAGTGTCAATTCCTAGTCATTGTTTATTTGGTCTTTTTTTTTTTTCATCAATCCATAATATTAATTAATAGTAATAAAGTATAAGTTTTTATTAAGTTTGAGTACATATGACAGATACTTAAAATTGATATCAATTTTTACTTAATCATTATAGTTAAGAATTGTACCATTTAAAGACTTGTGATAGAGTTTGATTGTGTTATTTAGATACTTGTCATTGATTCAAATAAATATATAAAAAGTGTGTAATAGATTTGTCGATAAAATGTCAAGATAACGAATTAAATAAAGACATATGATATTTAAATTAAATATAATAGTTGAAAATGAGTTATGAGATTGTCTTTTTTCCCTTTTCAATTCATTATATTCTTTTCGAGTAGAGTGAAACGATTGTTCTTATATTTATTTGGATTAATTTTCAACATATATATTGCATTTGCACGTATATGTCGAATAAATAATTATATATTAAATTAATAGTAATAAAGTATATGTTTTTATAAAGTTGAATATATATGTAGATAGTTAAAGTTGACGCGAAGTTTTACATGAATATCTTCAATAAAACGGGTACCATTAAAACACTTGTGGTAGAGTTTAACTGTATTATTTTGACACTTTTTAATGATTCAATCAAATATGTAAAAAATAATGTAATACATTCATCGATGACATATCAAAATAGTGAATTAAATAAAGATACATGATATTTAGATCCAAAAATAAGAGTTACAAACTCCTCCCCTGTCAATTCATAATATGCTTTTTAAGTAGAGTGAAACAATTAATTTTGTTTTAATTTAGATTAATTGTCAGCACATTTGTTGCACGCACATGTCGAATAACTAATTATGTTCAAAATTAATAGTAATAACATACATATTTTTACAAATCTTGAACATATATATAAATACTTAAACTTGATATGAAATTTCACATAGACAATCCAACTAAAAATTTTACTCTACCATCTAAACATTTGTAATAGGGTTTAACTATGTCATTTTGGCACTTTCACTGATCCAATCAAATATGTAAAAAATGTATAACATACTCATTAAGAACATATTAAAATAGTGAATTAAATAAAGACACGTGATATTTAAATTTGAATAAATATGATTAATTTTTTTTGTGTCATCTTATTAAAATGACAAACAAAAAAGACAATTCCAACATAGTTTTTATCTTTGAATCAAACAATCTCTTAAAATATGATATGGTATAAAATATACGCATATCTTCTTTTATGTATATGAAATAGAGAAAATATTTTCTATATATATCTTCAATTAGAAAAAAGTGTGTCACATATTCGTTAGGAGCCAATTTTGACTTATGGTTTCCTATTTATTTATATTAGTTATAAAAATTGAAAACACTATGCAAGAAATTATCTATTGGTCATCCCTATGTCTAAAATTGACTTGTACGCTTCACTTGCTACCACTAAATAATCTTTCGAAGGGTGTTTGGTTAATTTTATAAATTAGTCAAACTAATTTATGATATGAATAATGTTTTAATATTTATATGTTCGATAGATACTATGATTGATTATAGTTGAAAATAAGCCAAACATTACAAATTGTTGATTATTTTTAATTTATGATTTTACAGCTTATAAATATTTTTATTTTTCTTAAATATAACTTCTAACTATATTTCTATTATATTTTCATCAATCGTATCTTTTTTTTTAAAAATGTAAAAACACTTTTATATTTATATTTTTGTAAATGGTGTAAAGCATATTTCAATCAGAAAAAATATCTATCAACATCTTTATACTAAATATGTTAACCGCTTATTATAAAGTTAAATACTAATTATGGGTTCTAGCTTTTACAAAAGACTATTACTTACTATATTCTGAATAAATTATCCTCACAGACATTCATTAAGAGAATTTTTGAAGATAAATTTCAGCTAGTCAAGATTTATGAATATCATTAAATTCATACATAGACTCATAGTTCCTTTCTAATATTATATTCTATTTTGGTCAAATTCTTCAAAAATAACGATATCGTCAAGTGTATATCAAATCCTTCAAAATTAGTATATTTTGAAAATTTTGACATCATGTACGAATCTAAATTGTTGAGAGAGGGTGCACGTGTACCTTTAATCTTGAAAAAAACTATATATATATGTGTGTACCTTGAAAATTTAATATATATTTTCGAAGAACCCCTCAAACATATTTGATTGGGGCAGTTCGTCATTGTACTCATTTAGCTTTTGATGATGTGTGTGGGTAGCTCGAGTTTGAACCTTGGTGACGACACTCTATGACCTCTTTTTGTTTACTCATTTATAACTTCAGCACAGGCTATACAACAACGTCAAATTTTATCGCTAGTAATTGATATACCTTTATTCCCCTATTGCGCTTAAATCTCAAGTCTCCATCTATTCAACACGAATATGATAATATTTTTAAACACTGTGTGCATTTAATTTCTAAACATAGTACATAAAGTAATTAGAGAATCGAAAACACAGGGAAATTGCGTACGCAAGTTATAAATGGCAAATCACGTAATAAAACGTAGAATTAATGGTAATATATTATGTACTGCCGACAAATAAGACCGCGTTTGAATTTGTTTTTATTTGCAAAATGTTTGGTTCCTACTTCCTAGAAGGTGGAACTGGAAACAAACATTAAAATACACACACATTTAAAAAAAAAAAAAAGTTTTCCTCACATGTTTTTAATCAACTTCATTCATTACTTATATGCATAAAATAATTAGTTGTTTGAATTACTTTCTCAGTCTAATATTAGTTGTCATGTTTTATTTTTTAAAATTATAAATTAAATAATCAAAAATTATATGAGAAATATTATTTCTTCTCAAAAAAATAATACTCATGTCATTCCAAAATAAGTAGTGCTCCAGTAAAACAATAATCCAAAATAAGTGTCGTTTTAGGAATTCAAGATAAAAAATAGTAATTATTCTTAGTTATATCCTTATATTAAAAAGTTGTTTACTTCTTTTTAATAGTATTTAATTTTCAAAAAGATATTCAATTAATAAGAATAACTCAGTAAATTATATCTTATATTCTTTTTTAACGAGTGTAAAATGAATTAAAGCAATATGAAAAGTATTATGTGATGCAAGAAGTAGCTTCTAAGAGACTAAAATGTGATGATAATGACATGGAAACATTAATGTATCTTCCACGTTATTTCTCTTATAGTATATAGTATATATAGAGTATATTTGCCTATTTTTTAGCATCCTCCCAAGTTCTTTCCTTTGTCATTTTCATCCCCTTTCTTTAAGTCATACTCTAATTTATTTTGTTAAGTAGAGGGGTCAGTCATGAACTCATGATATAGAAGGTTCCAAGTACATACAATTTTTTATTTTATTTTTCATACGTTGTTTTACGTTCGTTTTGAGTCAGAAAAAATCTCATTTTAATGAGGATAAAATTCTCTATTAAAAATAATTTCACGTCCAAAGTTAAAAGGTCTTACTTTGGAAGGGATGGATTCTCTATTAGTAATTTTATTTTCAGACTTCGAATTTAAAATTTCTGATTATAAATAAAAAAGCAGATAAAATTATATATGACTGACTACTGACTAGTAAGTAGTGATGCCCGTAAATTTTTGTGAATGATATATAATTATTAGTACATTCTACTAATTTCAGTGTTTAGATAAGGAACTCGGTAGTTTTTTTTTATATATATATATATATATATATATATATATATATATATATATTAAAGAAAATATTCCTGGAAAAACCACTAATTTAATAGAAAACGCAGAAAGATTTGACAAAAGAGTAAGTCAAAAATACATAACCTAAAACTTATTAGAATAAGTAAAAGCCCTCATAGCAGTCCAATGTTTATGGTAAGAAAACGCAGGGGGCCTGTCTTATAATAAAGGGGGTACTCTCTTCTCTGATGTGCGCTATATTATTGTGTCTTATTCCTTAAGGAGTGATCCGGGATTAAGCCACGTGGCGATACCCGCCAAAAGAAAAGAAAGGATGCCTTGAGTACTCAAAATATATATGATTGAATTGACCATATCTTGATAGACAAATCATGTTGAATATATAGCTCAAATTGAAACTTTTGACCCCAAATTTTCCAAAATTAATTTCCCTGCCAAAGAAGTCCAAGTAGATATCATTTTCAAATTGATTTCACTAATGCTAAATAAGTCCTAGTGGAGCCATGACAATTGACATGGGCATTTACTTATACATTTCCTTTTTATATATTTATTTATTTTCCAGTGTTTAACATTTGTTTTGATGTTTGATTAATCGAATTAGCACTTCTAAAGTCCATTTGAGGGAAGTGCTTCTTATCAAAGACTTTTAGATACCCATCGCTTGAAACAAAGATCTCTAATTGAAAGAAAATCAATCTTTTATAATTCATTATACCATATTCTTCGATAGTCTTATACTTTTCAATTAATCGGCCGTAGCTATTAAGATATTTATTTCTTCTTCTGTTGTGTGAGTCAAAATAAGTGTTTTTTTTTTGTTTTTTTTTTTTGTTAGGAAATATTTACTAGGAAAAAATTAAAAGTCAAAAATGAAACCTTTTGATGTCTAGATGGCTTACCACATCAAAATGCCATGATCAACCAACCTCATAATACATATAATATGCACTCATGAGAGATTTTATAAAATTACAAAAAGATACAATATAAAATATAATTAATAAAATTAAAAAACGCATGTATCACGTGAATTTATATTTATAGCTCATCGGACTTTTCACTCATTTTCTTTC